CTTTACCTCATACACGGACCGCTGGCCAGCCGCTGAGTGAAAACAGAACGGTGTGGGGTGGGGTGGGTGGGGGCTTATCGTCATAAGATATTAGAATACATGCTTAAAAAACTTTGGGACTCCCAGTCTAAACCGTGAAGGCATGCTTAGTGGTACAGACTACTTTTATTTTGTTCACATAACTTTTTCCTTTAAATCAGGACTGGTATTGATTAATAGAGTTATCGATGTATTTTTAACCGGGTTACCCATATTACTTTTTGCTCTTCTTCTGTGGTATAAAATAAGGTGTCTATTTTACGAGAACCTTTTATTTATGCCCCATTGCACGGAATAAACACTGTACCTAGAATGTTTTTTTCTAAGTCATTTCTGCTTTTCCCAAGAATGCATGAAAAATGATTGCTTTATATAAAAGGCTGACTCTAAAAATATTTTCCGCAACAGTAACCAATGTCATTTACGTAGGACGGTAATAAAACTAGCAATGTACAATTTTTAGTGTTTTCCACTTATGAGCCCGACATAAAATTGTTAAGTGAATCATGTTAGTCTCAGCTCATACCTTTAATCGAGCTGACCTTTTATCACTAAACCCTATTCTTTTTGAAATGTTCAGCAAGCAACCGTGATCGATAATCCTCATACGTTGGATCAGCCATGATCTAATCGGCCCAAAGTAATGAATATAAATATAGAGGCAAGACCGATAGAACGTCTTCAGGCACCAGAAGAACTTCAGCCTTCTTCAGGCACCTAAAGAAGGCTGGTTTGGCCAGCCGAAATATAGTGCTCCGTCTTAAAACTTATCTACGTTGTATCGGTCTTTCCTCTATATTCCTATTCCGTTTTCATTTTCAAATTTATTTCCATTTTTTTCATACGAGAACGACAAAGAGTTTTATAAGTAAACCGAATGTTTGGTGTACCACGCTTGTATATACAGAAACATGGAAAAGGCCGGCTAAATAAGCACCTTCCCTCGGCCTGCTCCTAATTTTTGGTTGCTTTCACCCCATGCCTCTGCACGACTCCCTGTTGGCTAAAAAGAAATTTGAAAGACTACTATGCAGGACGCCTTTTCTTTTTCATTTCAGTTACCCTCTACAATTCTTTATAAGTATGTTTCGTGTTGAGATTTAGAGCAAACTTTCTCCGCTAACCTCTGACCTGGGGTCCACAAGGGATCACGAATTTTATGAGGTGTGGCCTGAATGTCATCAAAACAACCACTGGGCATATACATAGGACGCAGGTGTTCTGTCTTGCTAACAACCTTGCAGAGATTTGGGTTAAATGTTGTGCTGAGTTTATTAGTCTTGGCTTGTTGGACAAGAACTTCATCTCTGTTAAAAACAATACAGGTGTGGTTGGACAACAACGGTGTTTAAGGAGGCTCGGAAAGGTTTTCCGTTGCCGTGGTGTTTTTGAAACGATAACAGGTTACAACTGAATGAGCTTAATCGTGTGGGAAAACTATAAACATCTTTACAACTATATTGTTGGGCAAGACGTAAGGTCCACAAACAGACACTCAAATTTTCAGTTATTGTAAATTATCTGAAAAACTAAGTCGGTTACCTACCATTTTAGTTTCTTTGTAGGAAAGCTCCCGAATTTCTTTAACTTCTCAGAAAGTATGAAACAAATTTATCTAGCAGATTTTAAGACTTCTTCCCGTACTTATAACTGATGCCAACGCGATACGAGTCCGGGAGGTCTAAAGGAACTCGCTCTAACTTTGTATACTCGATACGATTTCACTGATTTCCGCGCCAAGGGAGCAATTCATGAGTGGTCGGTGGTTACGCTCGCTAGGCAAAGGATGGGTTTGTGACTTTCTCACTCAATTGAAGAGACTCGCGTCACTCCTATGAAATAGTTAAACAGAATACAGACTGCTAGCAGTTTCTTATTTTTCTTAAATATAGTGAGGTCACGCGTATCCTATGAGCATGGAGAAGCCGCGAGATTGGTGACTCGTGTGTCGCGTCTTTGCTCTCGGAGTTGAGCAAAGACGAGAAACTTTACCACTGCTGCGATACAAGAGGTTCAATGGTTATCTCGATTATCTGAACACGTTTATTTACAGTACATGGTAAAGATTTGTTTATAAATATATGAACTGATGCCGATCCTTTTTGAAACGAAATGTATTTAAAGAGAAAAAGAATACCCGGAGCAAAACAAAAGTTGTCTAGATCTGCAACACAAAGCATGCTTTTGCACAAAGACTGAGAATCGTAATGCATATTATGATGCTTTAATGAATATATTCGAATGTTCCCAAAAATCTTCTGATAATCTGCCCGCACCCACCCCACACCCTCCCCCTCACCACTGAGCCGTACTGTTTTCACTTAGCGGCTGGTCAGCGGTTCGTTTATTAGGTAAACATGGCAATCGCTTCGTGATCGCCGTTCTTGTCGATCAGAAAATAAAAAAACCAGGCTGATATTGCCTCGAAGATGAAGCAGTTGTGTTATGTGATTCGTACTTCACATTCGAGTCGAAGCTTGGGTGACACAGGTTATTTCTTATGGTGGAATCGACGAGGGGAATTCGAACACTAGTTGTAGTGTTTGAATTGTTGGAAGAAATGGTCGCTTGGAAATGTAGGAATGGTAAGTTTAACAAACAATTGCAAATTTTACCGCTTGAATTGAAAGAAAAGTTCATTTGAATTGCTTCCGTATGTATTTCAGACGGTTTTAGATCTACCTGCTTGGTTTATATCTGTTACGCTTCATGTTGACAAGTCCTTCAAAATGGCGGCCAAACTCGGAGATTGCCAAAAATCAGGTAAGTTCGTGGAGTTATAAAGTTTTCCCAAAGGTCGTGCCGCAAAGTTTTTTTCTGTAGTTACCTTTTCTATGGCGTGTTCTTCCTAGCTATGTTAGTTGGATCAGTTAAGAACGCCTCACTTTTTCAAAAATTTACCTTAAATTTTATTGGTTTTCGCGTGTGTGACTTAAGCGAACCGATAAGGTGTCATTCAAGTCTTCCTGTTTCTTTGATTGAAATGTGATGTTCACGAAAGTCGCCTCGATGGATAAGATAGAGTGAATATACACGGCTCTGGTATTTGTTTTTTGCTGAGTTCCGTAGTTTTTTTT